AGGGTTGCAATTAATTTCTTAAAACGGAACCATTCAATACCGGTATACGCATAGCATACATACTTTCATCAGTAAAATAGTTGATAAAGATATTTAAAATATTGATGCCATTTATTATAAGCTTGGATCAATTGGGTAGAGACAGGATTACAAATTTATGCTTTTAGAATGCATCGACCAAGCCAGGTGTTGGTGACACTTGTAAGCCTATCTTTTAGGAGGCTGAGATCTGAGGATCATGTTTTCATAGCCAACCTAGACAGGGAAATCCTATGAGATTTTTCTTTCTAATTAACCAATGAAGTGCTAAAGGTGGAGATATGGCTCAAGTGTAGAATGCTACCCTTGAACAGAAAATGTTTAGGAACAGCATCCAACAGTTTAAGTCCCACTTTGGCAAAAAAAAATGTTCTATTGGTTATCATTATTGTCCATATAAACATACAGGATTACGTTGCCCCAAGTAACAACAGTAAATGTCTGTTCCTTTTTGAGTTAGTACTACTATTCATACACAATTGTTAAATTGCCTAAATTACTCCAAGTAGAGAATCTTTCTTTTGCATCTAGCTGTGACTTGTTTGAAGGCAAACAATAATTTATCTTTCTTTCACTGCTTTTTGGAAAAGTGTTTCCTTTGCATTCAGCATAAAGAACAAAACAAAGCAAAAACATTCTGAATCAATTATTAGTATTAAATTCAAACAAAGTATGTCGCAATCTGGAAAAGAACTGCTAGCATATGAAGTTTGTTTCATGAAGAATATATTACTGAATATTAAGAACAAGAAGGCTGAGTCGGGTGGTTTACAGCTTTCAACACAGCTGTGGGGATCTCGGGTTGGGGGTTGAAATGTTAAGCTCAGCTTAGCCTTAATAGAGAGACTCCGTCTAAAGGAAAAGAAGATGAAGAAGGTGGGTGTGATTTTTTTCTTTCATACAATTTTTAACACATTTATAAGATTATTTCTTTGGTGCTTTGTATGTCCCTCCCCCACAGTATAACCCCTGCTTCACTGTATTTGATGTCAGTATAATTTTTGGAGGGGAAGGGGAAAAACCAATCGTTCAAATAGGTAAACAGGTGGATCCATTGCAACAATGAGATGTACAAGATATTATGTCAAAACAATCTTTACCACTTTGGTGCGAGGACCCCCAATCCCCCACCCCCCTCCCTCCATGGCGGGGGAGGTTTGGGTGGGGGGGCCAGTGGGCAGATGGGAAGGCCAAACAAAGGAGGAGGCTACAATGCTTGATAAGAAATGTACTCATTATCTTGCCCATGTTATTGTAACCCCTCTGTACAGTATTTTCCCAATAAAAAAAAGACAGTGAGGCAGAAAACAATTCTCCAATACCCTGAAGATGGAAGCAGAAGCAAGGTCGGAATGAAAACAAAATGGGCAGAGTGAGCTGGTTAGATGTACATGGTGTGCGTGTATACAATCACCACAATGAAATCCCTTGGTATTATGAATATATGCTCATTCAAACATAAAACAAAAATTTTAAAATTCATATATTTCTAAGTTAGTGCAGTGAAATAGCTTGGTTATGTTAATCTCTTTTACTTCTTCTGAGAATAAATTCTTTTTTAATTTATTTTATTTTATTTGTGAACATACTGTACAGAGGGGTT